GACTGGTGCGAGGCATTTACCCTAGGCCAGGGGTTCCTGGGGCGGGGGGAGGGGGGGGAGGTCCCTTTGCCATAGCCTGGGCCTAGGAAGAGGTTGGAAATGAGCCAGATGCTGAACGGTGCGGAAAGGAAGAAAGGGGTGTGGGGGCCAAGCCAGGAGGGGAGACGGGCCTTTCAAGCAGAAATTACACAAAAGCAGCAGTGGGTGGCGTGGGATTGGTGTTCTGGAAAGAAGCCACTAGGGGCGGGGGAACCACCAGCAGAAAGGTGGAGGGTGAAAACAGGAGGCTCTGTGAGCGGTCCCCAGGGAGCAGGGGGTGCTGTTTGTGTCTTGGAGATCAGCTGTGGTTGGCAGCAAGTCCCTGAGGGTAGGGACCATGCAGGTCCTGTTCGCCATTGTTTCCAAAGCCTAAAGGAAGGCTTCCCACAAACCCTCAATAAATATGTACTGAACAGATGAAAGGGAGAAAAATCAGCTCAGCAAGAGTGGCTTGGATGCTAAAGATGAGGACAAAGAGGAGTGTGGTCAAATTCTGTGAAGGTCAAGGACGGTGAAGTCAGGGTTCCTGGGGGAGCGGAGAGAGACCCAGAGCTGCAGGGCAGGGAAGAGATTCAAGGGTGAGCGCAAGGTGAGCATGCAGGCACTCTCTGCAGGGGGAGTGAGAGGGAGGCAGGGCCGTGGCGGGGGCGGGGAGAGGTCCCTGTGCACCGCCAGCCCGCCAGGAGGGGCAGAGATCAGAAGGATGGAGAGGTGGGGAGCGCTGGCTCTGGGAAGGCAACAACCAAGACAGAGACAACCTGTGAATAAGGCAGGTGCCCAGACCTGGGGACAGAGGAAGAGAGGGAGGGAGGACACAGATCAGCTCCCCAGATGGCCTCTGCTCTCTCAACCAAGAGGCAAACGGTCTTTTGAGAATGCATTTTGGAAAAGGGGATGAACTGAGAACTCCGGGGCCTGAAGCAGAGCCAAAGCGCCTTCCCTTTGGGCCTGTGGGAAAGAGCCAGAGTGTGACTCCTCAGACAGCAGCCGGAGACCCAGCCCCAGCCTATGCATGACTACTGTGGCCGAGGGCTGTCACAAGGGTGACCAAGGTAACTGAAGGCGGTGGTGCTAAAAAACACCTCCCAACTTCTCCCCACTGACCCCTCTAGACCAGCCCCATGGTGTCTCATTCTATAGGAACTAGCCCCAAATCGGCTGGGTGACAAGGAGGCCTGGATCCATTTCCTGATGTTTTTGAGAACCAGGAAGCTTTCAGTAAACAATGAGGGGGCCTCATTAGGCATCAGATTCCATACCTATCCCCGAGTAGGAGCTTTTTCATTCAGGTCTTTCAGAACCCCTGGAAAGGCTGAATATGTTGAGAATAAAGCCGACGCCAAGCGCAGAGTGCATATTGGGAATGCAGGCAAGCCTCTGATAAGGGATGGAAGGAGGTGATCTCCAAACATCCTCGCAGCCCTGACATGCTATGAAAAATGCTATGGACCAGATGGAAGACAGATAGAGGGAAAGGCGGGGAAAGGAGCGGGGTCCTAATCACTCTGGTCAGAAAGGTCCCGACATTTATGATAAACACATGTTTAAGAAAGCAAAGTGCTTTCGTGCTACATCCATCACAGGGAGACTGAGGGAAGTGCTGTCTCAAGCCAGGTAGCACGATGTGCCTGCCATTTCTTCCCAGGCTGCACATTTTTACATGGGATACAGAAGGGAATCAGACAGGAGAGCCCTCGGGGGGCCCATCCTATGAGCACTTCTGCTCCCTGAATCCCCTGTTTCTTGCCATCACCCCAAAGGTGTGACCCCAGCCTTGCCTGCAGAGTCACGGGCACTCGCCACGTATTTATCTGCCCCGGTGCATGTGGCTTTAATTATTTATGATAGTGTCTCATCACACTCGGGGGATGTGTCTTGGAGTCACTTCTCTCAACTGACGAAGCCTTTGTAATCAGAGACCTGCCTGGCTTAGCTGGTAAATCTCACTGAGGGGCAGGGCCAGCGCCACCTTTCCCGGGCCTGGGCATCAACCAGGGACTCACAGAAGCGGGGTGAGCCAGACCCAGTTACGACGCTCGTGCACACTGTCTGTTGTTGCCATAGATGTTTTCGGGAAACAATTAGGAGCCGTCCACTGTCTACTGACAGGACAAAACGTCCTGCTTCCCTGAAAAGGACACTTTCCCTAATATTGGAGGGTTCTAACAAGCTGGAGTTAGCTCGTGATATCCCTCGGATGATTCACTGTTTATTCCCTTATTCTGACTGGTCTTCATCAATAAACCCACTTCCCCTCCATCTCCACCAACCCCTCCTTGTTCACACAGAAGTACCACCTGGATCCTTCAAAAGTCCACTTTGAATCACAAGCCCAGGGATTAGGAAGGAAGGTTTTTTTCTCCACTCGGTTTTGTAGGGCCATAGCTCTCTGGCTGGGGTGGGGGTCCTGACATTAAAGGACTCTCAGACCCCATGGCTCTCTCCAGGGCTCACACTTATTCTGATGGCCCAGAGGAAACTCCCCTCCCACGTGCAAGATTCACCCCCATTTGACAACCACGGGGAAGCTGGTATCAGGAACTCAGGGGAACACAGACACAACCCAGAGGCACTACACCAGGAGCTCAGAACTTCCCCTAAACGGCATGTGGTCCGTCCTCATTATTCATGGATTCTGGATTTACAAATTCGCCTCTTCGCCAAAACTTATGTGTAACCACCAAACCAACACCTCCGGCGTTTTTGTGGTCATTCATAAACATGAAAGGAGTGGTGAGAAATGGGGGTCACCCGATGGGCACATTCCCACATGATGCTCTGCCTTCTTGTTTCAGCTCTCATAACATAAACCAGTGTCCTTTTCGTCATCTATTTGGTACCGTTTTTTGCATATTTGTGCCTTTTATGGGTGATTTCACTGTTTAAAATGACCCCAAGCTCGGGGCACCTGGGTGGCTCTGTCATTAAGCATCTGCCTTTGACTCAGGTCATGATCCCAGGGTCCTGGGATCGAGCCCCGCTTCGGGCTCCCTGCTCAGCGGAGAGCCTGCTTCTCCCTCTGCCTCTGATGTTCCCCCGCTTGTGCTCTCTCTCTCTTTGTCAAATAAATAAAATCTTTTTAAAAAATTTTTTTTAAATTAAAATAAAATAAAATGGCCTCAAGCATAGTGCTGAAGTGCTATCTAGCCTTCCTATGAGCAAGAAGGTTGTGGTGAGCCTTATGGAGCAAACAGGTATGTTCGAGAAGATTCGTGTGTTAGATAAACTCTGTTCAGGCCTGAGTCATTGTGCTGCTAACCCTGAGTTTGATGTTAATGAACCAACGATATCTATTAAATAAGGCGTCTTCCAACAGAAGCACACATAAAACAGGTTATGTATTGATTTGTTGATAAAAATGTTGTGACCAGACATTCACAGGAGCCTAACCCTGTATGTTCCCTAGGAGCAATGGCTCAGCATCCACTAATTCAGTGTTTGTGGTGACTTTAGGGGAACATAACTACTGTGAATAACGAGAGTCAACTGTATGTTCAATACGGCAAAGCCTAGGTCTCTGTTGCGATGTCAGCATCACTATAGAAAGCTCCGCACCCCCAGTTCTAGACCAAGCCTGGACCCCGTGCTACCATCACAGAAAGGCTTTCCTTCCAGCCACACCCACGTCCATCCAAGATGAACCTGACCCAAGGCAAGGCCTTCAGCCAGAGCAGAACGTTCTTAGCACTAGGTCCCCTGCTATTTTGATAGGGGGTGTCTAATAAATACTAAGGCCAATTCTGAAGGACATGCAAGGACACCCAAGGTGGGGAGGCACATGATTGTGACTCGAGCCCAGTCCCTCCCACTGTGTCAGTTCTCTTACTAAGAATCAGAGCCAGGAAAACAGAAGCAAAGGTTAGGGAGAGAGCCGAATGCCCGCTCGGCTGTAAGATGGACCAGCAGGAGCAGCAAGAGGTCTGTGCATTACGGTGTGGCCCGAGTACAGAGCACTCGGCCAGTGCAAGAGAAAGACCCAGGGGGCTTCTTCCTTGGCCGAAACCCTGGACCAGCGGAGACAAGAAGAGAACCAATGGCAGAAGCCAGGGGACAGGGGAGAGGAACTCACGGCCTCTCAGTATCTCAGTTTTCCTGTTCGTAATACGAGGCCTTCACCCAGCCCGTCCCTTCCAGCTCTCAGTCTCCAGGGGCCTCTGTACTCTCTCCTGAACTATTGACCATTTCTTGAGGGCAGGAGCAGGGAAGGGTGTGTGCTGGGGCTGCTAGGCCTACACGGAAGCTGGGACACCAGCAAAGGGACCACCTCCTGAACGGGAAGTCCAAGCCACAGAGTCTCCGGAAGCGGGGAGAAGCCCTAGCGGATCTCAGCAGAAATACAAGGAGAGGGACTGGAACCAAGAGCAGGCGAGAAATGAGGAGGAGAGCGATGCCCTGAATCTTCTGATCTGAGTGAGACATCTGCAGAGGGAGGTGAGGTGTCCTAGCAGTGGAGCTGTGAGGAGATTCTTGGAAAGTGCGCACTTCGGGGCACTGGAGGGGCAGCTAGGGAGGTGTTTCCATTCAAACAGTACTCACCACCCTTCATTCCCTTCCCTTCTCCTGGAGGTTTGGGTGGAGGGTCTGGTAACCTCAGGGGCTATTGTCTGGACAGAGTCAGGTTACATTTCCTGAATGCAGGGCCAGGTCTCTAGAGAAGACCAGCCTTGGCCGTGCCCCTTGCCGTACTGGGAGCACCTCTCCACGTGGGGCTGGGCCTCCTGCATCCAGGCTGCTCCCCACCCTGAGCCCTCTCTGCCCAGGCGGCTCTGCCCCAGTGGAGACCCCTTGCCTAGGCTATTTTTCAAGTTTTGAGACAAACAGGGAGGGTCTCTTAAGAGAGTGGGAGGTTAGCAGGTGGTAGGTCACCTCAGAAGGTTTCAGAACCCCAGCTACGTGGTCTATTGCCATGCCACCCTCCCCCGCCCTGCCCAGAAGGGACAACGCTCTACTCCAGTACTCACACGTGTCTGGCTTGTGGCAGTTGTGTCCCTGACGGAAGTACTGGGGGTTCTCAATGACCGGGATGCGGGTCATGCCGATGACCACCGTGTCCGGCCCGGCGTCCAACGATGAGGGCGTGGTGATGCCATGGTTGATGTGGTGCAGCGGGCTGGCTGAGTCCTCTTCGCCACTGATGACAGCCACGGGCCCTGTGCACACCAAGAGAGACACGGGGACATCAGTGAAGTCACATCCGGCCAGTGCCCAGCCCTGCCCACAGATCCTCTCACTATTTCTGCCACCACAGTTCCAGAAGAGTGAAACCCACTGGATGAGTATTCCCTGAATGCTCTGGAGTCTGCATTCAAAGAACCACCCCTTCGTTCTCCTTCTTGAGAGAAAGGGCCACCCCATCACACCATGGAAACAGCTGCAAGAGTGTATCAAAATGACTCTGCTATGAATTATTTTCACTTCCCCCAAATCCAAATTAGTTCAAAATAATGCAAATTTTAAATGAGTTCTTTCTTCTGTGGCAACAACGGGATAAAAAAGAAATGTACATATAGCAGTCATTTGCACCCTCTCCCTCCTCCCTTATGGAGCTTTAGAAACTATCAATGGTGGGTCCCACCCCAGTTTCTGATTCAGTTGGTCTGGGGAATGCACCTGGGCGTCAGGATTTAAAGAATGCCCGTGTGAGTCCCATGCACAGCCAGGATCTAGAACCTCTAATTAGGGCCTTGGAGTGCCTTAATAGGCCTTTCCAGAATGGCCCTCAGATTCCTATAGGAATGTATCCAGCTTTCGCTGGACTCAGCTGTTGCCTCTCCCAGTCCACAGGGAGCTAAGCCCAGTATGGGCCAGGATCGAACCTGAGCCAGCCTTCACAGTGACACGAATTCGGCTGCATCACTGTTAGCCTTCCTGCAACTGGGTCAGCTGCCCACTCTCAAAAGATCCACACTGCCCCAGTGACCCCAAGGAACATCGTTCGTGTCTTCACCAACCCCAACTCCAATTTACAAACACAAGCCGACAAAGATAATTGCTGCCACAGTCTGGGCAGGGCAAGGATTCTGTCTGGTGGGGCGATTCTCCCATACATACAAATAAAACCGACGTCAAGGGCATTGGCTGTGACTGTGGCTTCTTACAGCTGGTATTTGAAATGGGTGCTTTGCAAGACACCCGGTCCCAGGACAAAGTACCCTCTGTGATTCAGTTTTGCAGCTCGCACAATACTTCCGCTGTAGAAGTCCATTACACCTACTGAAGTTTATGGGGAGAATACTTCCCATCGAAGAGCGAGGTGAAGCACCAATGAGGCAGAACTAAAAGGAAGACTAGTGAATGAGAACTGAGGATGCTGAATTCTACTCCATCAGCTCAGACAGGCTTATTCCAATCCACGACAAATGCCTGACGGGTTTTGGAGACCACATGGAAAAGGAGCAATGCGTGGCGATAATCACTTGCCCTGCAAACAGAGGCCAGTGCCTGAAAACACCTTGTAAACTCTGAGAAACTTCGTCATGATTCCAATTAAACACTGAAAGCGGGCATGGGTTTTTCTCGTTCCTCTCTCCCCAAATGCCTCTAAAATATAAAGAAATAAAGAAATACTGGTGAACCAATAGCAAGAAGAGGGGAGACAAGAAGAAATAAGATATTTCATCATTTCAGAAGATGAAAAGTGAAATGATGTAAGCTTGCAGGGAGAATATTTAGAGAAAGTCAGTTCTGCTGGGTCGCCCAGGACTTGAACAGACAGGGTAACCCAGAAAGCTGGATTGGGGCTCGGGGTTGGAACAAATTACCCAAGCCATGACCTTGGCCCCAGGCCACCAGTCTAGTGGTTTCTTCCTGGAGAAAATTAAGTGGAAAGCCTGAGGGGAAGGGCTGGTTCCCTTCTTCCTGCTCCTGGAAGACAGAATCCGGGAATACCCATGCCTCTTACTGACCCTACTCCCAGTCTCCTCCTCTGAAGGAGATTCAGAGGATGCTTCTCTGCAGAAACTGAACGCCTCAAAAAAATACCTAGATGTTAGGGTACCTGGGTGGCTAAGTCGGTTAAGTGTCTGACTGTTGATTTTGGCTCAGGTCATGATCTCAGGGTCATTGGATCGAGCCTTGCATCGGGCTCCACGCTCAGCAGGGAGTCTACTTAAGATACTCTCTCTCCCTCTGCCCTCCCTCTGCTCTCTCTCTCTCTCTCTCTCTTATTTAAAGATAAATAAATCTTAAAAAAAAAGAAAAGAAAAGTACCTAGATGTTGACATTTGGCGGTCTCCTAAAGAAATCATGCTTAGTCTGTGATCAGGCCATAGTGAAGGCTAATAGTTGATGAGGCCCACCTATGTGCATAAAGTACTTTCTAGAACTCAATTCCTAAATATGAGAGAACAGTCCAGGATCCTCAGACACTTCAGCAAAGCTTCAACGTGAGAGAGAGAGCGTAAGACAAAGAGATAATTAGGGACCTACAGGAAACAGAGCACTGCAAGGAGCAGAAGACTTTTTTTTTTCTAAATCATGAATATCCTCAGAGAGACAAATGAAGACATCACATTCATTAAAAAAGATATTTAAAATGTGGACAATTCAAGGGTCAGAAAGAGTCCTTGAGAATTATGACCATCAGAATTCAAAAGCCAAAGAGGAGTAGAAGATAAAGCCAAGGAAATTTTTCAGAAAGCCAAACAAAACAGAAAGAGGAGGTAAATAGGAAAGAAAAGAGAAGAAAATTAAAGACTCAATCCAGAGATTCAATATCTGACTAAAAGGGTGAGGGGACAGGGAGAGGGAGAAAGGGAAGGAGAGAGAATAGAAAAGATGGAAGGGAGGATAAAAAATTAGGGAAAAATTTCTCCAAATGGCCTGTCCACTCAGTTTCAAGCATAATTAATACATGCACGTACGCATCTGCCCACGCACACATATGCACGCACACACATATATCAAGGCACAAAGTTATAAAATGCCAGAACCCTGAGAACAAAGAGGAGATGCTAAGAGCTTGCAGGATTGAGGGATAGGTCATATTTCAAAAGGAACAGAAATCAGAAAGACAATGCAATTCTCCCTAACAACCCACCGTGACTACGCTGAGCAATCCCTTCAAATTTTTTTTAAGATTTATTTATTTATTTGAGAGAGAAAGAGAGCAGGGGGAGAGCAGAGGGAGAGAATCTCCAGCAGACTCCCTGCTGAGCATGGAGCCCAACACGAGGCTTGATCTCAGGACCCTAAGATCACACCCTGAGCTGAAATCAAGATTTGGATGCTCAACTGACTGAGCCATGCGGGTGCCCCAATTCCTTCAAATTTTTTGATGGGCAGATTTTCAGCCTAGAATTCTACCCCCTAAAAGTGTATTCACAGGACGGCCTGGGTGGCTCAGTCAGTTAAGCGTCTGCCTTCAGCTCAGGTCATGATCCCAGGGTCCTGGGATTTAGCCCCGTGTCGGGCTGCTTGCTCAACAGGAAGCCTGCTTCTCCCTTTGCCTGCCACTCCTCCTGCTTGTGCTCTCTCTCTCTCTCTGACAAATAAATAAAATCTTTTAAAAAAATAAATAAAAGTGTATTCGCCCATTGCAAGGGCAGAACACAGGTACTTGCAGGTGTGTAGACACTCACCTCTCCCTTCCTAGGAAGCAGCAGGAGGGGAAGCTTTGGCAAAACAAAGGGGCAAACAGGGAAAAGAGGGAATGTAAGATCCAGTTCCAAGCGACAGAAGGCCCCCCGCACCCGAGTCTGTTCCCAGCATTATGGGATGTGGGTTGTTATAGCAACATGGCAGCAGGACACAGAATCAGGAGGAATTTGGAGAAGACAGAAATGATGGGACTTGAGCCTTTTACGAAAGGCTGTTTCTTTGAATCTGTGTCTCAGGGAGTCAGTGGACAGCGAGTGGTCCACACAAAGTTCCAAAGCCTGTGATCAAAAACAGTCTCTGCTTTCTCAACGTTATTCTAGGATCTGAGAAGACCAGGTAAGAGCCACAGGGAGAAGAAGCGTCCTGCTACAGGCTCCCAAGCCACAGGAAGGGACAGGGTCACCCAGGAAGACTTCACAGAAATAAATGAATAGAGCAGACTTCGAAGCCCTGGGAAACCTAGTACTTAGAATGCAGGCAGAGGAAGGGGAGCAGGGAAAGGAACGTGAGAAGAAACGGCCAGAAAAGCAGAAGAGAATCAAAAAACGACATTGACTTAGAAGTCAAAGGAGGAGAATGCCTAGAAGGTCAAGAGCATACTCTACCAAGGCCAAGTAGAATGAAGAATGAATATAGGCCACTGTATCTGTCAATGAGAAGGTAGCCTTAGTGAGAGCAGGTCCCAGAGAGGACTGGTAGGAGGAAAACATTCAGCTGTAGCGGGTTGAGGAGTCAGCTGGAGATCTCACCATTGCTGGCATTTTTATTGAGTGCTTTCTATGCATCAGGCTCTGTAAATGCAATGTCTTTAACTTTATAATGCCTCTATGAGGTTGGTACCTTTATTCTCCCCGTTTTACAGATGGAAGCACTGAGGCACTGAGCAGTGACCTGCCCAAGGACACACAGCACAAAGTGGATGCAAAATGGTGGATGCTCACTGGGCTGCAAACCTGCTCTGCCCCAGAGTCTAAGCACCTATCAGTGACACGGCACTGCCTCCCAGAAAGTGCAGACCATGAGGGGGACAGCATGTGATCAAAGGGACACTTGGTCAATTCTGGCACATTATCCTCCTCATGAGCAGCCACTTTCAATTGCAGGTCCCTGAGACCCTTTTTAAAGAGGTTGCTCTTGATCCTCGCCAACAGGGACAAGAGTGAATCACCTCATTAGACTCATGCAGATAGATTACAGATAATTCATCATGAGCTCTGCATCCCAGAGCTGCTGAACGCTTGTGTTCAGCTACCTCCACATCAAAAAGAGCACGGTGCTGTCAGACCGCTGTCCGGTCTCTGAAGTCCTCTTACTCACCTCCACTCTTCCACGAACCACATTCCTTAAAATAAAAGCCATAAAGGGTGCAGAGACCCCTCACTTCAAAGAACCTAAGAGGAGACCCTTGCAGCTCGCTCCTGCCTACCTGCAGGGTCCCCAGCAGGGCTGTGGCCAGCGCGGAGGCGAGACAAGTCCTCTGGGGACAGGGCTGCTCTGGGTATGGCAGGATACGTGGCCTCTCTGGACCTGGGTGTTCAAAGGCAGTCTCGGG